AACAGAACCTCACTCGCTCTGTACCTTCTGAAATGTATGGATAAAAGAGAATCAGATGACTTTCAAAATAAGACTTAAAATACCTTGCAGATGTAAAATTTAAAGACTTTGGGAATGTATATTTTGGAAGTACTCAGAAAGAATCTAGTGTATAAAAGGAGATTAATATTTAAGTTGAGATCTCAACATGTAAGTTGTGTTCTCAACACAATAGGCTTCTGTCCAAATGTGCATTATTTACAGGGGTTTGATGGTGTGTGTTCAGTTACCTTAAGTCATACTGTGGACAAAGTGATTAACTCAGATGTTTAGTTTCAGAGGGCAGAAGTACCAGTATATAGCAACATGATTCATTTCTGCTTAGCATTATAATTGTGAAAGGGCCAACGGTTTGTTCTTGGCACTATTTGAACAATGACTGAGTATTTCTGGGACAAGTTTCAGACTAATTCCTATATTGGAGAAAGGGTTCAATTAGATAGACTCTCACTCAATTCTGAGTGTCTGGTTCGATGAGAAGAGACAACTAGAGGCACATGGTTCTGAGCTCCAATTCTTGCCATATCTACTAACTTGCTCTGCAACTTTGGCATTACAACTTTGCCCCCCCCCCCCCTCTCTCTCTCTCTCTCTCTCTCTCTTTCTCTCTTTCTCCCTTTCTTTCTTTTTCTTTTTTTTCCTCTTTCCTTTTTTTTTAGTACTTCCAGGTATAAAAATGGATATTGTTTTGTATTCTTTCTAAATGTCCATGAGTTTAACACATTTGTTCTTATTTCTGGGCACTATTTAGTATATGACAACCTGATTTATTATATATACAAAGAGAGAATGAGAGAAGGAAAAAATGAGGAAAAATGAGTGAGTTAAGTGGACAAAGGCATGTAATAGCAGATTGCTCCTTCTGCAATGGCACTGGACCACTTATATCTAAGAAGAGCTACGAGGAGATGTCAAATACTCCCCCAACCTGCCAGTGTTTGAAAACGTTCTGTATAATGGTATTGAACTACACAAGCGAATCAGGAAGCCCAGTGTGCTGACTCTGTGGAAAGGTCACTTAATTCAAAGTGAAGAACAGACTCCATGGAAATCTTCAATAGGACTTCATGATTTAAAAAAGAGATTAGATATTTTCCAGGAAATGGAACTCTCCTTTCCTCCTATATCTCGAGCACAAGAAAGCACTAGAGAGCCGTAGCATTCCCTAAGGATGGGAACCCTAAGGGCCATTAGGGTCAGAGCCCATTCACAACACATTTGGGGGAGGCAGAAAAATAAAGACCAAAAGGAAAGCAAAGTGGTTTTCTGCAACACAGTAATGCAACCAAGAAGGCAGCCTGGCAAGCAAAGGGTTTTCGCAGCTTAGAGACACAAGATAGAGGGTCTGTGGCAGGAATGATGCAGCGGAGAGGGTAAAGGACATCTAGATCTAGATGCACAGGGTTTCTAAAGAACAAAAAAGAATGAGAAGGAAGAGGAGGGGTAAAGGTGAAGGTGGGGTGGGGAGTCAAAGAGAACAAGGAAGAACGAAGTTCAGGGAACCCTCTGGAGGACGAGACCTCGGGCCTCTGAGGAACTCACTTAGGACCCTCCCAGGAGATCTGCTTTCTCATATATCAGAGAACTGTGATACTCAGGAAGCAGAAAGAAGGTACCCAGCAGCCCTGCCTTCACAGAGTCTGCACATTCCCTTCGCTTTCACCTGTGCTCAGTGAGCTAAAGCTAGATGAAAAAGGAGAGGCGGAGAGTCAAATATGAGAACACATGCCTCTTCCACACCAGGTTTCTTGAACTTCAGATCTAGGTGGCCTTGGGTGAGGAGAAAGCATTGAATAGGATACAAGGCAAGTCTTGAAATGGACTGGACTCAGTTATAGAAACTCAAGCTGGCCAGAGTCACTGGGTGTGAAGGAAAGGTAAAGAAAACCATTCCTGGCAATCATCACCCTTAATGTCAGTACTTTACTGGGTTAATGCTCCCCATTAAACTTGTTAGACACATATGTAGGCTTTTTACAGACAGCATTTAGAAAAGCTATACTTAATCAGGGTCCTTGTTTTTCTAATAATCATCGGAAAATATCTTTGATACAACCTGCATTGGCTTACTCAGGTAAGAACTTCTAGTATGCCATTTCTCTTGCCTTCCCCTCCATTCCCAACCCCTTCTCTTCTCCGGTACTTCAAAGTTTCTTATATTTTTTTACTCCTCAATTGTGTACACTAATATTACAAGTACACTTAAGAGCGAGACTATAGGCGCAGAATTCTATCTTCCAAGATCAGCATTCATAAAATTAATATTAGCTCTGTAAATCTTAGTGGATTATTCATTACTTAACTAATTGAATTTCAATTTGATAACAACCTTTAAACAATTTCTAAATTTTGTCCCTGTGAACAATATAAATGTTACCAAGTAATATTATGGCACATTTACTATATGCCATATTCTATATATTATATTCAAAATCTACATTAAGATACATGGAAAATAGGGGGCTGGGGATTTAGCTCAGCAGCAAAGCGCCTGCCTGGCAAGCGCACAGTCATGAGTTCAGTTCCCTGTACCGGAGAAAAACCAAAAACAAAACAAAAAATAAAACAAAAAATAAAACAAAAAAAAAAGATACATGGAAAATAGAAAAACTAAAGTTTAAAATAAACAGTTACGCTGTATTTTTACTATAAAATTTCCAAGGGACAAAATGTGGTTTTGAAACATTTCACATTTAATTATAAAATACCCTTATATTTAGTGCTGTATTTTAGAGAAGTGAAGAAAACTCATATGAATAATTTCCTCTGTCTTTAATCAATTTTGTATAAACATTGTTGTCCCAAAGCACATATATGTAAAATCAAATGTGCACACCAGTTTCTTAAATAACTGGTTCTTAAACTGTGGTCCTTGACCAAACAGCACAAAGATCAGAATCAGTAGGAATTTGTAGAAACGTAAATTCTTGAGCTACAACTGATAAATCAGTGGATCAGATACCCTGAGAAAGGGATACAGTGATCTGTTTTTCCACAGCCTTCTAGAAGGTTCTAATGTGTGCTCAAGTTGAAGAATGGTATCTTAATAAAATGTTTCTCAAATTTGAGTGTACATTATATCACTGCAAAGCATTAAATGTGGATTCTTTGGTACTATTTCTAGACAATCTTATTTAATTGGTCTGTGGCAAGGTGTGGACAGGTTATTTTAAATTTGACCTGGTATTTCTTTTATTGACAGCTACACTTAAGAATTGATGGCTGCTCTTATACTTGAGACAATATCCAGTTCTCACATAGGCTTCACAGTTTGACCATGTCCCTCTTGTTTGCAGCACTGACATAAAACTTCTCCTTTTACATGTGACAACTACTGAAAAAGTTAAATGATTGCTTAAAGATCAAGGTCAATCCTCAGAGGGCCTTTCTAATTGTGTGTTTTCCCAACATAATGTCAACCTAAAATTTCCCATTAACCTGTAAAGACAAATGCAAGCAAAATGAGTAAGTTTTGTATATGTCCGTGAATTTCACTGAAAATTTGACCCTCAGTTATAATAACTTCAGATCCTAATAACTATCAGGAATATTTTTAATCATACATTATTTTCACATTTTTAAGCCTCAATTTTAAAATTACTTTAGTGTAAAATACTAGGTATTAAACATAAGTGATTGTGCAAGTAGTTGAAATATTTTTTTTAAATGGTTGTAGTAGGATCCTTCTAGTAGGACTAAAACTTTATAAGTCTGGCCTTTTCCAAGGGCAAAGTGAAATGTAATCAGGTCAATATGATGATGCTTGATAAAAATGGGGATTAGTAGAACCTATAATCATATATAAAGCATGTCAAGTAGGGTAACCTTTAAAAATTGCAGCTTTTGTCACTTTGTACTCAATGCAGGGGTAATTTTCATTACAAGACTCTCTCCTATAACTTTAAAAGTGAGCCTGTGCTCATTTACTCTGCCAGCTTCTCTCCAGAGGGAAATTGTCATTCAAAACATCACAGTGAATGTAGTTTAGCAGTATAGTTTAAGAAAAATTTTAATAAGAATATTTTAGGTAAACAGAGAATGCAACTTATATACACAGGCATTTAAATTGAGAAGTTAAAAAGCATTTTCCTAGTGTTAGAAGTACTATAAAATGGGGTTCTAGAATAAAAATATAATTATATTATGGCTGGTTTTGTGATGCTAGGATTCAAACACAGGCCTTTGCACATGCTAAGGAAATACTCTACTACTAGGCCACATCCCCAGAACTAATAACAGTAATTTTTAAAAATCCATTTCTACTGCTAAAATAAATTACGTTTTAGAAAATCAGGATCTTTCCTTTATATTTTTGGATATATCTTATTGACGTAAATAATAATAAGCTACCGTTATGTGAGTGAAAAGAACAACAGTTAAATTTGCAACTTCATGCAGCAATACATTTGTACTGCTGTCAGAAGTAGGAGACGGATGGGAAAATGACTTGGAATTTTGCCATCAATAAGCATCATCTTAAATCGATGATAATTTTTGTCAATCAGAACCATGTAACTCTATAAAAAGCAACAATTAATTTACCATGTAATCCCAGTCTTGATTATTTATTGCTTCCAGAATACAATCTATATACACCAATAAGAAATACGTTCTCCTCATTTATTACAAATATTCCTCATCGCACAATTTGGCAAGTTTAATCATTATGGACGTAAGATTAATTGTGAACGCTTGAAAATGTCTAGCTAGTGTTATAATACTCTCTCCTAATAGCACCTGCGATGCTTGGGTCCATTTACCCTCGTTGATACTGTTACTGCTTTGTGAATGAGATATGTCGTAAAGCTGTCACTAAAGCACATACGCACGTTCAAAGGGTTGCAGTGAAAACAATATAGTCTCCGCCTCATTGGCTTGTGTATACTATGCTTTTAAGGGAATTGCAGTGATAGGCTATCTGGCACGATCTCTGCCAATGGGATATTTCATTCCCAACTCACCGCAAGTTGTCATTTCATCCGTCTGGTCAGCACAGTCATCTTCCCTGTCACACAGCCATGCTCTGGGTATGCACCTCCCATTTCCACAAGAAAAGTGGTCTGCTTGGCATGTCCTGGCTGCAATGATCAATTAAAGTACAAGGAATAAATTGCAAAGCTTCTTGAGCAGTGTTAAGGCTATAACAAAGTATGCAGTATCTCTTTGACACGTAAGATACTTTATTTCTGTATTAAGATAAAACATTTTAAATGTAAATTCTTAATTAATGCTTCAAATAGCAACTCACTTGTATTATCTAAAGAACATAAATTTTGACCTCCAATTAAAATGGCCACAGATGACAAGAGATTCAGTATTTCTCTCACAATTCCAGAAATTAAGTTCCGAATTTACCATTTTATAATTTTTGCATGGCACATACTTATGCATGTACGAAAAAATTAAAATTTATGTGACCTTGGATTCATAAAAATTAATTTTGTGTTTCCAATAGGCCAAAATAGCTGTTGCTTTTTCTAAAAAGAAGTCTTTGGATACTATATCAGTTCCTAACTATAGCATCAGAATTATCTTTTTCTGCTATGTTCAATGTATTTACCTTTTGAGCTGTAAATAATCCAGTACATGGAGTGAGAATATAGAAAATGTTTGCTTAAACATACATTTAGCCTCAAGACATTTTTAAAATTCATTTTTGCACAGCTATGTAAAAAATATGACTTTTCAATCGAAGTATACTAATGAACTTTGCTTTGGGCTCTCTTAAAGGTTTCCATGAACACCAACATGGAAATTTGCTTTTTATGTTAGCCAAAGGCCAAGGTCTAAATTATTCTGGAAAGGGGCTATGTTCTACAGGGATTTGTCCTTTTTTATTATAATCAGGTCAACTTTTTTTTGAAAGCATAAAGGCCTACACAGCTTTACTGCCTCTCCCCCCAGTTCTTGTTGTTAATCAGTTATTTTAATGTCTGTTTTCCTTTTGCTTTATTTTGCTCTTCTATTTTTTTTTTTTTTTTTTTTTTTTTTGGTTTTTCTCCGGTACCGGGAACCGAACTCACGACCTTGCGCTTGCCAGGCAGGCGCTTTTGCCGCTGAGCTAAATCCCCAGCCCCTGTTTTGCTCTTCTAAACTATTAATCTATCTTCACATGAGTATCCTTTTTACTCTTCTCTTTAATTAGATTAGAAAAAAACTGGAATCTGCAAGGAAGGGGGTACTCAGATTTACGTATATTTTAATTAGGTGGTTTGGGCAAATGTAAAACTACTGTGGTCTGCATTTCTGTGCTTACAATGAACAAACTAGCTTAGATTATAGACTAATTTTTGTTTTCTTGGCTGATAATCATAAAGATTTGCTACATTCTTTCTAGCTACAGTAATTTGAAATATTAAGAAAATTATCATACCATATATACTGCTTCCTGTGGATTAAAGCCTTAATTCTAAAATATTTTAAACAACATTTGATTTTTCACATTTGACAAATTAATCATTTATTTTAAGTTAAGGGATTTTAAGTATTCCAAAAAACACATGTGCTTCTGAGTTTTCAATGTTAAAATTTCAGTAAGATCAAATATGTATTTCTACATTCTCTCGGTACCTAATACTACAAATTTTTCTGTTAAATTATTGTAAGACAGCATAAAATTAGTAAAGTCCTTCAATAATTTTTATAATTGTGTGTACTTGAAAAAATAGTGTATGTAATTGTAAACCTAGTAGAATACAAAGAGGGATACCTATGAGTTGTGGGCATTAGTTTATTTGATAGAAAGAAGTAAGAACAGAAATGTGAGAAAGATCAATTCTTTTTCCACTACACATTTCTGTGTTACTTCAGTTATTACAGTAAGTACTTTCTTACCTTTTAAAATGAGGTCACTTTTAATAGGATTTTTTATCCTTTTATTCCTCCATAAAATATTCCCTCTCTTTTTCTTTTCTCTTTTCTTTCTTTCTATTTCTTTTGATGTCTAATCATTCATTATTCAGTCTTCCTTGTTTTCAGTGTATTACGAAATTCTAATTCTCCATGAAATTCTAATTGACTCATGATAATATCCTATTCTTATTCAGTCCAATATTCTGTTATTTGATATTCTTATATCACCACATTCTCTAGTAGTAATTCAGGTATCAGTGTAATGAAGTTTACAGAAACTATCTTCTTTCATTAGTAGAGCTATAGTGATTAGAGAGGAAAATGCAAATTAATTTCTAAAAAGTTATTTAATGTAGTATATGACCTATCATTGAGATGGTTTGGAAGTTTGTGTGTCATCTCATTATAACTGTCAAGCTTCAGAAATAATTATGGTTTATAATCCAAAAGAACATTCACTGGATTATTATTGAGGAACATTATGCCAGAAAGCATGTGGATTTACTACTCATTTTAATCATGGAGGTAATTATTTGCATTGTCTACCAGGAAAATTTAACTGAACTTTGATAACTAGGATGCTTCAATTCATAAATTCCCAAGAACTGCCTACAGGATGCATCCAGATTGACTGAATTATCACTTCCAAATCAGTGAATTCATAGCAAGACAGACACCAGTACCACTGTTTCAATTCTGTCTCCGGCAGATCTAATTCAGTCTCGAGGTGAGGTGAGAAAAGCCGCTCTAGAAAACTGTGATTTCACAGCAAATGCTGCTCTGAGGAAGAGGAAATTTAAGCCTCCTCTGGGAGAATTGTTTATCTAGCAGTTAAACCAGAGATTCACTATTACAATGCAAATATTTCTACCTATCATTAATCATGCTTTCTCCGATGCCAAGTAGCAGCGGGAATTCCCACAATGCACTAGTACTACACAGAGGAGGAGGACACGAGAGAAAGCATTTCATTCCTAACTTTACATTTGCTGCATCTCAGTCAAAGCATTCTAATTAAACAAGACATGTTAAAGCAGATCAAAATGCACTTTTTTTTTTTTTTTTTTTGCAACAGGATCTAGCCCCGTAATTCAGTTGGTCTAGCAGACACTAGGTAGCCCAGTCTGGCCTCCAACTTGCAGTGGTCCTCCTGCCTCAGCCTCCCCAGTGCTGGAATGACAGGAGGCACCACTTTACTCAGCTCAAAATGGGCTGTTTAGCGGATGTTGGACGAACATCTAATATTTTATGCACTGGGCTGTTCTGATGCAATTACACCTGTCTAGAAGGAGGAAGTGAGACGAGGAAATAACATGTAGCGTCACTGGAGCACTGCGATGGGAGAAAGCGCTTGTCTAAAACTGCCCAAGTTTGAATCTAAGAATTTATGAGGACTACTATGAGAAAAAAGAATTTCAAACCCACTACACTTCCTCTTGCCTCAAGGACTCTCTCATAAGTAGGTACAAAACCCTTGGGGATCGGGAGAGAACAGCGACCCGGCTCTGCGCTGCGTCTGCTCCCGGGCCCCTGTGTGCTCAGGGTCCTTTGTGGCTACTCTCCTCTGTCTCCTCCGTTACTCAATTCACTCTGCTCTCTCTTCCACCTACATTTCTCAATCTCCTAGGAGGTAAAGGGGATCATAACATTAAATCTATTGAATATCATGTAGAAATATCACATTGTAGTATTTTCTTCATATTTTTATTTAAAAATTTAAAAATATATTAGTTACATTTGCCATCCTTATACAATTTTTCCCAATTGCATTTACCTCCTTTTCTTTCCAGATCTAATGACTGTATTTAGTTTTTACTTTTTCACTGCCAGAGATAATTTAATACTCTTTGGACACATTTATGAAGTCATAGAAATCAGAAAAGACTGTTTTGTAGTTTCATTCTTTGTAAAATTGCAATGTTGACATTGTTCAAATTTTGCTGAGATATTTTGAAATTCATTCCTGTTGATAATTTGAGTATTAGTTCATTTTCTTTACCTAATAATAATAATTCGTTATGACTATCTGTCCATTCTCCTACTAATAGATAATTTGAGCAGTTTAAAGTTCTTATTATTGCTAGAACTAGAACGGTGAATATCCGTGTTCAGAGGCATTAACCAAGGCTAACATAGAAGTGGAATTACAGACCCTAATGTGTACACATCTTTACATTTATTGAATTTGACCTAATTATTTTCCAGTGTGAAAAATAATTTATATACCCTCAAATAAACATATATGATAGTTCCCTTTTCCCATTGCCAATATATGGTTTCATGAGATTGTTTTTTTCCACTTTAACAGCTTTTATTATGCAGGATTTTTTTCTTATGAGTTTTTAAATACTTAGCTTGACTTTTGCCTCCTTTAAGAACTCTCTCTAGCAAACCAAAGATTAAAATTCTTTATGTTCTCTGGTGCTTGCATGCGGAACAAAGTGGCACTTCACCTACTGTTACAATGGTCTGTTAACACACTTTCTCCTGGTCTTCATTGGTAGCTTCTTAATGAAACGTACTACATATTTTTTCTCATTCTATCACTAGTGACTTGATAAATATTTACTGAATTAACAGACTGATGAAGGAAAAGCTCCAAAGGAACATTGCCTACTTGTGGGAAAGGGTTTTCCTTTTTAGATATAAAGTGGTCATAACGCTAATGGGCATAGGATAGGATCAATTACAACACAATCCCCTACTGTAGGTCTTTTAGCCTAGGACAATGTCCATGTATACTCTTATGTTTAAGAATAGATGGAAAACAAAGTGGTAGGGAATTAACAATGGTGGTTGTATTACATATTGATATCTTCAAAGTGGCTTCTCATGAAAACAGATATAGACATTCCCTACCACTTTCTTTGTAACTCTGTATTGTCTGTATTGTGCTTGTGATATGTTGTAAAATGTTGTATGTCTGTTAATGTTTCCCTCCTTTTATCTTTAAAATAAAAAAAAAAGAGAATAGATGGAAAAGACTCAGGGAAATGGTCTACATAAATTTGCCACTTTTTCCAGTATTGTAAGATACTATTTAAATATTTTGATCAAATGAAATGAAAGAACATTGTCACACCAATACTTGTTTCATAGCTTTCAAAATAAAGGCATATTTATTCTTCTTTTTGTATATTTTTTCATGTTTTAAGTTATCCATAAGCAGTCATAGTTCTTATAAATAAACCGATTAAATCTAATACTTGGTGGCAGACTTTCGGTGACATACTACTTCAAGTGGACCACAGGACATGAGTGTCATTTATCCTACTACTTAGAATTGATTGTTTTCTTTGCTTTCAGACAGAAGCATTTCCACTTTTCCTACTATAAACAGCTAAACATAAATGTTACTTTAAAAATAATTTACAAAAAAATGTAAAAATTTGGAAGCAATAAAGAAGACATGGTATTACAAACTGAGTCAGCAGTTCCTTGTATTTTATTGTGTAAGCAGATCTGTCTGTTCAGTGTGTAACAAAGCATGATGTTTTAGTTGAACCTTAACCTTCAAAGACTACTAATTGCATTGGCTTACAAAGATGCTTCATGACAAATCATACTCATGTTTTAAGAGCAACCTGAGCAAAGTTACCTGCCAAATGGACTATACCTAACATTCTAGCTAATCTGCAAGATAATATAGTTTGATATTAAAAATAATCGTCATGCAGACAAAATACTTGGAATTAAATTTGCCTAAATCCTTATCAATGATGTGAGTTTAGCTAAGTCCTCTCACAGATACTTCATCTATAAAATGAATGATCTTGAAAGTAGTGACCTGGGACCAAATGGTTTCTAGAACTCCTTTCTTTTTTTTTTCTTGTTTTTCTCAGAAAGTCTTTTGTGAAACAAGGTCATAAGACACACACACTAATCTTTTAAGACATTAATTTAGTCCAAACGCAGAGGAGCCTTTAACTTAGGAGCTAAGAAAATACCTGGCCAATAGATGCTGAGCAAGTATGTCACTACAGGAAAAGCTGAATATAAGATATAGGTTAGTATTATGGAACGGTGACTCTTTGATTCTTGATACTGTTCTCTGTGTAGTGAAAACCTCTTTGGACACAACCTCTAGCTAATTTATACTGTTATAGAACTGCAAGGAATATGAAAGGAAAATGAGTTGCAGAGAACTACAAGTTTTAAGAGACAAAACCAGTGGCCAAAACAGGAGTAGGAAGCAATCTTTTTGATATCTGATTCTTCCCTGTGCATACTTCTCTATACTTTAAGCCTAGTAATTTATAGTGTTGTTACTTGGTAAGGTTTATTTTGTCAAAAACAAAGAGCTGGGTGTTTGTGTATTGGATGTTACTATATGTAATGGTATTTTTAAGAGGTCATTTTTTACTAATCATATCAATATGTGCCATCAAAAGCAGTAGTTTTTCTTCCTCATTTAAAGAGAAGCACTACCCTGCTGCTAGTTAAAATCATTTTTCAGTGTTTATCTGACTAATAATGACCTTTCTGGCACTCCATTGTAACCTGTGCACCAGCTGTGCATTTCCACTCAACAAGAACCCGGCTAGGGATTCAAAGATTTATTACAATGGTATGGATTGTATGGAAATATAAATAGGCTTAGTGGTCTTGGGACTTCACGGGCGCAAAGAACTACCTCACATAAATAATGTGCAATGCACAGAAAACTATTTACAAAGGTATTCCACAGGAGGCAAAATAAAATTCATAAGTATTTTTTTTAAGGTTTAGAAAAAGAAAGTGTTCCTTGTGAGATGGTCTGTATCCCAGCCTGCTTACAAACCTTCACTTGCACTGCCAAGCAAGATTTAGTAGGAGTCTGTCGTGTACAAGAAGTATATTGACAGTCAACATATATGAGTAGATAAAGTGCCAAATTACTTTGGAAGAAGTCATGCCCATGGATTAAATAAAAAAAATTATACTCGAGCCTTTGCAGCGTCCACCTTTGAATTCATTGCCTATTGTAATGAGATAATCAACACCAAGAAAGATCAACTGAGTTCAAAGCATTCACCTACATTTTTATTAAGGCCAAATTTGGGGGGGCGTTAGGTACGTATCTGAGCAAATCCTCACCTGCGCAAGTTTGATTGGCTTCATCTTCATTGCTTCCGCAGTCATTAGCTCCATCACAAAGCCATCGCTTGGGGATACAGCGATTATTCTGGCATTTAAACTGGTCCTCAGGACAGCTATGATTGACTGAGAAGGAGGGGGAAGCAAGCTTAATTAGTCAAAAGTGGAAACACGCATGAATATTTTGAATCATATTTACCAAAATGTTACAGAAATTGTTGCAGTATAATAAATGGCATGGCTTTTGCTGTTCACTGTCTTCAATTTTATAGCAAATATTAATATGCTAGCTTTGTTAAACATAACTGTCATAGAAGGCATCAAGTAATTAAATCTCAAATAAAAAAAGAAACATATTACTGTTAATGTTTTCACTCAAACCAACAAGATATCTAAATTTGTTTTCCTTCTATTATCTGAGTGATGCCTCAATTCCAAAATATTTCTCAAGAGGCTTTAAAATTAATCTCATTGTAATGTTTAACTAATTAATTATATCATATATATCATATATATATCATATCAAAATAATTATATCATATATATCAATATTGTTATTTTTAAAACTACACATCTATTTAAATATTTTTAAAAAATATTAACACAGCCCAATTTGATTCTACTTCATTCAGTGTCCTTGGGACTTGAAAGAAAAATACAGAAATGAAAATTATATCACTCATCACATGCAGTTGATGGTACAAACAAGATTCTATATAATTTTAATAACAGAAAGATCATCATGACTTTTCTCCCTAGCACAAACAAATAAACATGCAAGTACAAAAATATACTGAAGGTAAAGGCAATTGCCACATGGGAAGCTGCTCACAGCTAAGGATTAAACTCCCAATATCTGAGCACAACGGGGGAGCACCTTAATGTCAACCATTTATAAGTATTCTTCTGGGCTTCTAGAGACAGGCTCTTCAGTACTTGTTTCACAATTTCCACATTCCTTTAAAGCAATTTTTCTTATGCCCAGCAGTTTCAGCTCTGCATTATAAAAATGAGCTTTAGTATTAGTTTTATTTAGAATCTGAAAAACTCATTTTTATGATGCTGTTACATAGAAAATGTATACATTTTCAGTCAGCTTTTATAAAAAAACTTCCTTCAAAGTAGTTCTAGTGATAAAGTGGTTTTAACACTTTTTAAAAGGTTTTTATTCATGTAAAGGTAAAAAATGTATAAAAGGAGAAAAGACATATTCTCTTTCATTGGAGCATGGTTAACTGTTTTCATCCACTTCAAGGACTTTCGTAAAAATACTGTCCAGGACAAATAAACTTCATGCAATGTATGAGAGGGTCAACATTTAAAAGTTTCAAGATTATGTGCAAGTATTTCAGTAAAGCCTAACCAAGGACTTTTGCAGCTTTCATCAGTAAGGTAAATAAGAATTCAAGCATAGTTTTGTGGTTTAAAATTGAGACACTGAATGATAGAAAATACAGTGCTAACAGAATTCCAAGTAGTAGGCTGTGAGTGTTTAAAATCTAAAACAGTCCTTTGAAATTATCATGGAATATTAACCATGAAACTCCTCCACTATAATGTCACTCAGAATGACTGAAATGCTCAGAGAAGACACTGTACTGAAAGGTAGCTAGAGATGTTTAACATTCATCACCGCTAATATTTAATCATCCATTCTTGCAGGTACTAAGAGCTGTGTTAGGTGTTGAGACTATAAGTATGCCACAACATAATGTGCTTCCTTATGAAAATATCTACCAGATGCACCACATGAGAAGCATGCAATATCCTATGGTTTGGCAACTACTCTAATTAAAATATATGCCATAGATGAATGTTTACCTCCAGCTGGGCTATACTGAGTTTTGAGGTGGTCAAAATTGTCTTTCTGAAGAAGATAATGATGAACTATTTTTAATTCCATAGATTAGAAACAGCCAGTGTATTATCATAGTGAAGCAAAACAGAAGAATATTTTTGGAGACCTACTTAAAATTTGAATTTGCAAGCATAAAAAGGGTAAGTTGCTTCATACACTAAAGTCTAGTAACTTTACCACTGTAATTAACAGTAACATGCAATACACACTACAATCGTGGAAGATAGGACTTCCTTTTTGGGTTAACGGGAAAGAAAGTGCAGTCACACAGATGGAAGCACAGGCCTGAAGAAGGAACACTTGGTGTTAGAACAAAATATCAGTGCTGTGCAGAGGCCCCAGAGTTCTGTGGCTAGAGGAAGCTAATCTGTAGTTAGCACTGATTAAAATCTTGAAACAATGTGAGCCAGAAGGAGGGAGGAAATTAAGCTAATCACTAAATAATATGGCTTTTGGGTAAAAAGGCAGAAAAATATCATTACGCTCAGATGAAATGCTTTTCTCAAATGAAAATTTTGACAATTATGTCAATTTAGTATTGAAGACTGTACTTGTCGGTTGGCATTTTATAGGACAGATTATAAAGGAGGTGGAAATAAGAAGTGCATAATATTGAAATAAAAGTCCATTCTTGAAATTCAAGAGAAAGCACCTATATTTATGTATGATTTATAATTTAAGGATCTTATATATGATTGAAAAATATTTTATAAAATCCGTGTTTAGACTTTCAGCCTATAGCACGAATGTTTGCATAATGTGGATGCTCAGACCAGTTTTGTCCTATATTTTTCCTTCCCTTCCCTTCCCTTCCCTTCCCTTCCCTTCCCTTCCCTTCTCTTCCCTTCCCTTCCCATTTTCCCCCACTTTCTCCTCTCCTCTTTCTCCTTTCCTTTCCCTTTCTGATCTGATCTTGAGGACTGACAGTTTAACTGAGGACACCTTCTTTCAGCTATAGCCCCAGCCCTTTCTTTTCATTTTTATTCTGAGGCTGCAGTTTAGTCAGGTGCAACGTTCCTCAAATTTGCAATCCTCCTTTCTCAACCTGCCAGAGTGTTAGGTGTGTGCCAACATGCCCAACTCAAATATGTTCATTCTTCAAAAATTTCAATTATTAAACATTATTTTTACATTATTAATTTCAAAAAAGAACAAAAATGGAATAGGGTCAATTAATTTTCAATTAGTTGCTTAACTTGAAAATGTCATTAGTTAAAAGATGATGTGTAAATCAATGTGCTTAAGTCAAAAGATTGAAGATATATTGGTCTAACACATGCCTGTGTCCACACAAAATATTTTATTTCTCTCAGAAGAATGCAGTTAGTGAGACCAAACACATATATTATAAAAATATTATTTCTTGAACTTTCCAAAGTGTTTTCTCTCCAAATATAAGTTTCTTTGTTCTTACGAGGAGCAAGGAACTATTCCTATGCAATCAAAAACCAAAAATAAAAGCCAAAGGGAGGAAATTAAACTCTTGATTTCTATCTGATGTTCTATATGTGTTTTGTTCCCTGTCCTGAGCCAGTGGAGCTAGTTAATAACATATTCCATGTCTCTTCCCTTGGGTCTTCTTCAAAATTCTGTTGCCAGAGAGCAAAGGAGTGACTTCTGAACTTCTGTAAATTTGCTCATTCTTGAGTGGTTTATTTGTGCATTTTTTTTTTTTTTTGTACCAGTAATTGAACTCAAGACCTTGCACTTGCCACGCAGGTGCCATGCTACTGAGCTGTATCCCCAGCCTTCCAGTGCTCTAAATGGATTTTCCATATCTTTAAATTCAAAGATTTTTAGAGGTCCCCTGTCCCTGCCCTAAATAGTGGTGTGGTTGTACTATTGCCTTAGAATAGGGGGAGAGACAAGTTATGGGGAAGATGAAATGATACATAAAAGTGGAGGAGAAGAAAATTTTTGCTAAAAATAATGAACATGAGGCACTTTGTGGTCTAACCTTTTGGAAAAGGATGACTAAGAAATCAAATTGAGTTCAGATCGTATTAAAGATATTTTCACCCACTGTGTTTTTAATTCCCAAACACAAAAGACTCAGGAAAAAGCAGTTTAAAGACGACTCGAAGGAGAACATACAGCAGTTGATCGGGTCCTCATCACTTCCATCGAGGCAGTCATCGTCTCCGTCACATTTCCACCGGGACTGGATGCAGTGTCTGTTCCTGCAGCGAAATTCTCCAGCTTTACAAATGTGAGGCAACACTTCCCCAGGGTTAACTGAGTAAAAAAACACAAAAACAAAAACAAAACACAGTTCAAGACCTATAAGCAATGCTAGCTGTGTTCAGTTTATTCAAATGTGAATTTTATCATTTTTGTTTAAGATTCTACATAAAAATGAGATCATGTAGTTTTAATCTTTCTCTGTCTTGCATTCTGATCTTCATACTGTACTTCAGCTGTATCAAGTTGTCACAAATGACAAGATCTCGTTTTGTTAAAAGCTAAGTGTTTCATTATGTACATGTACATGTGCACACACCGTAACACATGCAACTTCTAAGCTGAATCTGAAGGAAAGGAATTGGGGTGTAGATCACAGGGTATAAAACAGCAAATATGTAAGCTCAACAAGTCTGCAAACCTAAGTTATGTCATCCGGATGATAATCACAATATTTTAAGGTATACAAGAAATTTGTTGTGACACATCTTAGGTGTTCTTATGACAAAAACACCTATAGCAAAAAAACTGTAAGAAAAATAATGGACAAATTCATTTGGCAGAAAAAAATCACTTTACTATGAATGTCAAAACATCCTGTTACACATCTTAAATATGCACATTAAAATGATAACTTGCCTAAATTTACAACACTCTACCACCCAAAGATGTATAATACTCACATTAAAATTATAGTTTTCTAGTTTACATGGAAGTCAATGTGGATATTTCTCAAAGAGCCAAAATTAGAAATTCCATGTAATACAGCTACCCCCCTTCTATGTATGCATCATCTGCAAAGAGCACATGACATCTTATGACAGTAATGTATGCAGATCACTGTGTGCACAGCACAGTTTATGTTAGTTAAAACCCAGAAGCAACCTGTACACTTATCAACAGATGAGTGGATGAAGAAAATATGGTACCTGCATTGGCACCACCCTATCTATCTATCTATAATGAAATGCTACTCAACTATAAAGAAGGACAAATTTGAGATATCTGTAGGAAAATGGGTACACCTGGAGAATACAATTTTGCATGACATAAATCAGATACACAAGCTGGAACACCATGTGATATCTCCCATCGGAGCAAAGCAAAGTACAGACTAAGAGAAAAATAAAGGAAGGGTAGATAGTAACAAGTACATGGATTTTTTGCAAATTGGAAGGTGTGCATGGGTTGTGTGAAGGGACAGGGAGACTCTAGAGTAGAGACACATCACGTACAGTGTCCTAATCACTTCAATGAATGTGGAGGTCATACTCCATACATACAAGCTAAGATTAATGGTATCAAAAGAAATAAAAAGTGAGCAATAGGCATTAGAGCAAGAAGGAGAGAGGGAGAAGGAAAGGGAATAAAACAAGAAAGGAGCTGTCATCTGGACATGTACCCACTGTCCAGTGATGTAAACTGCATGCAACACAAACATATATGAACAAAAATGAAAGAAAATTATAGTTTTCATAATACTAAATAAAAATGAATGACATATAATACAAAGTACCCACTGCCCAGTGATTGTAAACTGCATGCAACACAAACATATATGAACAAAAATGAAAGAAAATTATAGTTTTCATAATATTAAATAAAAATGAATGAGCTATAATACAAAGAATATAAAAGGGAACATTGTTAAATAACAAAATACTCATTTCAATTTACAGAAAATAGAAAAACAACAGTATACTGGCAGCCATCTCTGGAAATGAGAAAATTTAAATGTGTCTCACAATATTTCTACTAAGAATCTTAAGCACTTATGATTTGTGTCTAGAAGACCCCCAAAGCCTCATGCAGTTTTATTTTTTTTTTATTTTTTTATTTATTTATT